CTTTTTCTTGAGACAGAGTCTCCGCTTTGTTGCCCAGGCTAGAGTGAGTGCCGTGCGTCAGCTAGCTCACAGCAACCTCAAACTCCTGGGCTCAAGCATCCTGTGCCTCAGCCTCCCGAGTAGCTGGGACTGCAGGCACGCGCCACCACGCCCCGGTTAATTTTTTCCATATATATTAGTTGGCCAATTAATTTCTTTCTATTTATAGTAGAGACGGGGTCTCGCTCTTGCTCAGGCTGGTTTCGAACTCCTGACTTCAAGCAATCCACCTGCCTCGGCCTCCCAGAGTGCTAGGATTATAGGCGTGAGCCACCACGCCCAGCCGAGACTTTTTTTTTTTAATACATAAATAGATTTATTATTTATTTTTTTCTCTCTCTCCTCTCTTTATATTAGATCCAAAAGTTCATCTGGGCTTTCTCATGGTTTCATGATGTTCTCCTCAAGTTTTAAAGGTACAGATATTCACAGTCTAAAGAGGCAGTTGTGACCAGGCACAATGGCTCATGCTGGCAATCCTGGCGCTCTGGGAGGCTGAGGAGGGAGGATCGCTTGAGCTCATGAGTTTGAGACCAGCCTGAGCAAGAGCAAGACCCCATCTCTACAACAAATAGAAAAAATTAGCTGGGCGTGGTGGTGCAGGCCTGCAATCCCAGCTATACAGGAGGCTGATGCAGGAGAATCACTTGAGCCCAGGAGTTTGAGGTTGCAGTGAGCTACGATGACACCACTGCACCACTGCGCGCCTCCCAAAACCCACTTTCCCCTTCTCCCACCCCTCGCCGTTGCTAGGGTCCTCCCTCGTTACTAGACATCCACAGATCCTCCGGGGCTACCGCTCCACTTTTCTGAAACACACCACCCCCGTTGCTGGGCACTCCCGTCCTCTCTTGCTAGGGGCAACAGAGAGAGACTCTGTTTCAAAAAAATTAAAAATTAAAAAAAATTAAAAGGCAGTCCAGTGCACTGTTTGGAGCTTTGGCACCAGGCTACCTAGGGTTCAAAGGGTTACTCTGCTGTGCCCTCACTTTGAGACTGTGGGTAATTACTTCTCTAAGCCTCAATTTCCTTTTGTATAAAATGGAAGTTTTTCTGTAAAACATTTCACAAAGGTGAGGACACCTTATCTGAGGACAAAATAAGTTAATGCATATAAGGCACTGGGAACAGTACGTAGCATGTAGAAAGCTCTTGCTCAGGATGATCTTGCACTCCTAGACTGAAGCAATCCTCCCATCTCCACTTCCCAGAGTGCAAGGTTACAGACATGAGCCACTGCACCCGGCCCTCAAGGCTGCCTTAACCTTGGCTGCACCCTAGAATCATCTGGGATACTAAAAACAAAGTAAAAATTCCCAGGCCTCACCTCAGGCCACTTTAATCAGAATCGGACGTGGGGTCTGTGCATCGTATTTACAAAAGCTCCTCTGGGGATGAGTGTGCAGCCAGGGCTAAGAACTGATTGGAGGGAGACAGATGTGGAGAGAAGAACAAAGAAAGAGGTAACTCACCTTGAAGGGAACTCCAAGCAGGAAGAGAGTCAGAGAGTGATTTAGAGACAGAGATATACAGAGACAAGCATGCCTAGAGAGAAACTGAGAGAGGAGAGAGGGTCGGGGGAGGACACCCCAGTCAAGCAGCACTCAGGCTTCTCTCTTGTTCTCCAGGACTGGCTGTGGGCTTGGGGCTGGGTGCGCTGGCCGAAATAGCCAAGAAGTCCCTGCCAGGAGGACAACTGCAGCCAGGTGAGTGAGTCTTACTGCCGGGTTTCAGATCCTGGCCTTGCTGTGTGACCTGGGGCAGGTGGCTTCATGTCTCTGAGTCCCAGTTTCCCATCTGGAAGATGGAGGTGGTGATAACATGTCCAGCTCTTAGAGTTTTTGTGACGTGCTCAGAACAGGGCTAAACCACTATCAGGGTTGTGATTAACAGAAGCATATTATCTGAGAAAAAATGTAAGCCATTGGGAATTCCTAACTCTGACCAGGAGAAGAAAGCTGAAAATCAGTGTGCTAGTGGGCGGTATGTGTACAACACAGGTGGAATTAGATGTGTAGCATTTGTGGGTAAGAGTCCTCAACCAATGTTTTGAAATGAAAGTGGGGGTCGATATTCTAGATTAAACAGAGACAAAAGAGACATTAATTTACAAATGGATTAGTGTTTGGTAGGACTAAACAAAAAAAAATTTACAAATGGAATATGTGAACCATGATTGGATGTTAGTTTGAAAAAAAGAATTACTATGAAAGACTCTTTAGGGACAGTCGGAAAATCTGCATATGGACAGAATAGATGTTAGGGAATTAGTGTTCATTTTCCTACATGTAATTGTGGTATTGTGATTGTGTTGGAATATCCTTATTCTTAGCAAAGCTTAAGTGCAACTACATGCAAGTGGGTCAGCAAAAAGTAATAATAGTAAGTGTGTGGGTACACACAGATAAAACAGATGAAGCAGAATGTTACCATGTTGAATCGAGGTGGAGGGTGTGCAGTGTTCATGATATTATGTATGCAGCTTTTCTGTCTTATTTGGATGTTTTTCAGTAAAAAGTTAAGGGTAGGTGGAGGATTAGGCTTTGGGTAAGGCCAGCCTGAGTCTGTACATTGCTCTACCATTTCCATGCTGTGCGGTAAGGCCAGCCTGAGTCTGTACATTGCTCTACCATTTCCATGCTGTGCGACCCAGGGCCAGGTGCTGCACCTCTCTGAATCATTTGCTTCCTCGCCCTGAAAATTAAAGTATTGATGGTTTTTACTTCCTGGGGTGATTGTGGACATTCAGCCAGAGAGTCCACAAAGACATTTAGTATTTGGCCTGGAAAACAGTGAGCACTCAATAAAATTGAGCTCAATAACATTTTTGAGACAGAGTCTTGTTCTGTCACTGTAGGTAGAGTGCAGTGGTGTCTTCATAGCTCACTGCAACCCCAACTCCTGGGCTCAAGTGATCCTCCTGCCTTAGCCTTCCAAGTAGCTGGGACTACAGGCATTTGCCACCATGCCCGGCTAATATTTTCTATTTTTAGTAGAGACAGGTCTCACTCTTGCTCAGACTGCTCTCAAACTCCTGACCTCAAGCGATCATCCCACCTCTACCTCCCAGTGTGCTAGGATTACAGGTGTGAGCCACCGCGCCCGGCCTATATTTCTAAAGTTTTTTTCAGAGGTAGATACATTCCTGAAGGGTATAGGGCTTCTTTTTGGGGTGATGATAATGTCCTAAAATTGATTATGGCGATGTTTGTATAACTCTGTGAATATACTAAAAGCCATTGAATTGGATGCTTTAAATGGGTGAATTATATAGTATGCAAATTATTTTACTATAAATCTGTTAAAAATAGAATGAGGACCCTAAAGAGCTTGTTTATGTAGGTTGTATTTATCACTGTTTACTGTATTAGAGGTTAAAACTGAGAAATTTTTAAAACACAAGAACACACACAAACACATTCCATCAACTGTCAAAATGATGATGTCCTCACATGTCCTGGAGCCTCTGGAAGATTCCACTGGATGCTTTTTGGAGCATGGGAGTGAAAAAAAAGGCAAATAACATCTTAATATGGTGAAAATAGTTTGATCTCACAGACCCCCTTAAAAGGTGTCAGAGACTCTCAGGGTCTCAGGGTCATTTTGAGAATCGCTGCCCTGAGTTTCCAGAAGCTCCTCTCATGTCCCCACCTTGTCAGTCCCCTCACCAAAGATGACCACTGTCTTGGCTTCTGACATACTAGATTAGTTTTGCCTGTTCATGTAATTGGACTGTATAGTCCCTTACGCATCTGGCTTCTTTTACTCAAGGTTAAGTTTGTGAGCTGCGTCCGTGTTATTTTATGTGGTTGTAGCTTGTTTATTCAGTACTGCAGTAGTCACTCTGTGACTGTTCCCCAAGCTGTAGTCATTTGGGTTGTTTCCAGTTTGGGACTGTTATAAATAGTGCTGCTGTGAACATCCTTGTACTACTCTCTGTTGATGGACATTTTGATGCATGTCTCTTGGGTATAAGAGGAATAGGAGAGGAACTGCACTGGGCATCGGTGTGTGCTTTACTAGAAACTTCTCAGCTGTTTTCCAAAGGGCTTGTGCCAGAATGCTCTCATCAGCAGCGTCTGAGCTCAGGTTGCTGCCCAACTTTGCCAACTCTTGATATTGCTATTTTTGTTTTAACCATTCTGGTTGCTGTGCAGGAATGATTTCTGCGATTGTCATACTGATGGTTATTCTCTCCTTCCCAGAGGGCAGCTCCCGGCTGGGCTCCAGCCCCTTCCTCTCGGAGGCCAACGCCGAGCGGATTGTGCAGACCTTATGTACAGTTCGGGGGGCCGCCCTCAAGGTTGGCCAAATGCTCAGCATCCAGGGTACAGCATGACCCTCAACGCCTGACCCCTGACCTCACTTTCGCCCCACTCCTACCCATCAACAAGACTCAACTTGAGATACTCACACAGGGCTCCCCCTTTCCTCCTCCCTCACTGCTCCCCTCATCCCGCTGTCTCCCAAGACAACAGCTTCATCAGCCCCCAGCTGCAGCGCATCTTTGAGCGGGTCCGCCAGAGCGCCGACTTCATGCCCCGCTGGCAGATGCTGGTGAGTGCCCGGTGAGGGAGGGCCAGCTTGGGGGAGGCGAGCTCCCATCTCCCCTGGCCCGCCTGACCCTTTTGGCTTCATAGCTCTACTCCCTGTCTGACTCCGAGCCTCAGTTTCCCCTTCTGTAAAATGGGGATCACCAAAGCACACACCTCATAGCATTGCTGTCATGATCAAATGAGAGGGCGGTGAAGAGTGCCTCGTCCAGTCCTGGGCACAGAGTCATACTCCGTCAAGGCAGCCAAGTGCAGTAGTCAGGGACCAGACTTCATGGATTCCAGCCCTATCTCTGCCACTCACTACCTGTGTGATCTCAGACACGTGGCTTGACCTCTCTGTGCCTCAGTGACCTCGTCTAGGAAATGGGGACAGTGATACCTACACCCACATCCTAGGGTTACGTAAATTAGTCTGTGTAGAGCACTTAGAACAGCCCTTGACACACCAAGAGTGACATGCAGGTTTCAGCTGTGATTATTACTGTTTTTTCATTAAAGGAGAGTGTCTGTGAATAGGTTGGCACAGTGCCTGGCACTGAGTAAGTCTCCAAGACATAAGCTGTTCTTCTAATAACTGGGTAAGGGCTTGGAGTCCAGAATCCAGCCACCTGCCTGCCCTCCTGTCTTTGCTCTGCTCACTTGCCATGCGACCGCAGGTGGCTCTACCTCTCTCTGAGCCACTCCAAGTAGGCTCCGGCCCAAGAAAGCCCTTGTACAGTTTAGCTCCTCTTTATCCCATTGACTTTGAGGTCATAATTCAATATAGGATTATAAGACAGGATTGTTCTCCATCTTAACCATAAATAATAGTAATCCCCACAAGAGCCCGCACGACCTAGGGGGTGCAGGCTTGGGAAACACGTTGGGCTGAGCCTGCCATTCCATTCCACCAACGCCTGGCTGGTCACCGTAGGCAAGGGATCTCTCTCTGAGCCTCAGTTTCCCTGTGTGTAAGGTGGGGTGGCAGCCAAGAGCTTAGCCCAGGGCCCAGCACATGGAGAGTGCTGGGGTTGAACTCAGCACTCAGAGTCCAGGGATGAACTCAGCTGCCCAGAACCATCATGATAACTGTTGTGACCTCCCCCCAGAGAGTTCTCGAAGAGGAGCTTGGCACAGACTGGCAGGCCAAGGTGGCCTCCTTGGAGGAGGTGCCCTTTGCCGCGGCCTCAATCGGGCAGGTGCACCAGGGCGTGCTGAGGGACGGGACGGAGGTGGCCGTGAAGATCCAGGTGAGGGGGGGGAGGCCGGGCAGGGTGGGGTGGGCACCCTGCTGGTCCAGACAGTGACCCTTGCCCTCTGTCTCGCCTCTCCTCGCAGTACCCAGGTGTCGCCCAGAGCATCCAGAGCGACGTCCAGAACCTGCTGGCGGTGCTGAAGATGAGCGTGGCCCTGCCGGAGGGTGAGGTGCCTGTTCCCCCCGACTGAGGAGGATGCTTGGGAGAGGAGGCGGGGCTGGGCGGAGGGAAAGCGCAGCAGGGTGTGCGGGACGTGAGCAGAAGGGAGTGTTTATGTCGCTGTGTGTGTAACAGAAAGAAGGACACTGAGGCCAGGAGAGCCCAGAGAGCAGGAGTGTGTGTGGGGGACAAAACCTTACAGATTCAAACAGCTACAGAGAGACAGGGGCCCAGGCCAAAATCCAGAAACAGGCAGCAGAGCTTGTGCAGCGCCAGGAAAGGGACTGGGGGTGGAAAAAGAGCCACAGAAGCAGAAGGGGTGTTAGTGGGACAGCTTGTTTGTGTCAGAGCACGTGAGAAGGCGCCTGGAGAAGGGGGAGCGGGCTGTGTCTGTGTGAGAGGGAGGGAGGGAGGGACAGGCCCAGAAGTGAGATCCAGAGGCTGACAGCGACAGGAGAGCATCAGTAGGAAAGAGAGATGGAAAAGGGGCACGCCTGGGAACTGGGGTGCGGGAGCCCAGGAGAGAGCCCTCAGAAGAGACCACAGTTGTATGAAGAACAGAGGGAAACTGTGGACAGACAGTGTGGTAAAAGGCCTGGAGCAAGGGCTGTGAGGGGCAGAGAGAGAGAGAGCACTGGCGAGAGAAGACAGCCATGGGTGGGGGCCCAGGGACCCCTTCCTCGCCTGACATGGCTGCCCGCCCCAGGCCTGTTTGCTGAGCAGAGCCTGCAGGCCCTACAGCAGGAGCTGGCCTGGGAGTGTGACTACCGTCGCGAGGCAGCTTGTGCCCAGAGCTTCAGGTGAGCTGAGTCCTTTGCCGGCCCTGGGCGCCCCTTTCCCCCAGCTTCCCACTTTCCCTCCCTCCCAGGCTGGGTGGGAAGTGGATGCCCCCAGCCTCTGGCAGCTGGAGCCCGGGGCGGGGCTGACAAACTCTTTTTCTCTTTCTTTCAATCATGTGTTCATCTGTCTGTCCATTCACTCATTACTTCACTTACCCATGTCCTCTGTAAGCTTCGACAGGTCACTTCTCCCTGAGTGTCAGTTTTCTCCTCTATGGGATGGGACTCGTATCCACTGTGGTCTGACATGGGCACTTAATCACACGATGTGACACTGTTACACACACTGGACTGACAGAGGGAGCAGAGCAGTCCGACAACACCAGGAGCTGGGGAGAAAGGGGCTCTAGGGCTTCCTTTGTGCACTGGGGTGGGGGGGGGGAGGAGGAGAAATTGATATAAGCACTTTGGAGACTGGTTGGGCATCATGGAATAAGCCTTTATATTCACATACCCTATGGCCCAATAATTGTCCTTCTTGCTAAATACTCTGGGGACCTTTATGCCAGTATACACCATGAGACTTTTCTAGAATGCTCAAAGCAGCATTGTTTGCAAGAAACTACCCAAACCTATCCGATTTTATCCAGCAAGGTGGATAAATAAGTTATAGTGTATTCATCAGTGGAATATTACACACCAGTGAAAATGGCCTGTAGCTATGTGGAATAGTGTGTTTATTCTTGGAAGCATGATATGCGACAATTAATGACACCTCAGTGGGATCCTCCCCAGTGTGGCTCACACATTTCTTAAGGATCTATAATGTGCAAAGCTCTGTGGACAGAGAGTAAGAGGAAAGTCAGCAGAAGGCAGTGGTTAGGGACATGGACCCCAGGTCAGCCCTTAACAGGCTGCATAGCCCGAATCTGTGCAGTGGCCTCAGGGGAGTGTCCTCACGGTGGGGCGAGGATACAAGGGAATTGTCCCAATTATTAATACATGCTCAGCACAGGGCCTGGCCACGAGGAGCGCTTCAAACATCAGATAGTTTATAAACAAGGACAAAAATACAAGCAAGACCTTGAGAGGGGCGTGAAGTGGGATGATGGGCCAGAGCACTCCCGTGTGGGATCTGGGGAGACCTCCTCCCCCACGGGATGTCCCAGTGCCCTTAGGATAGAACCCCCATCCTTCCCCTGCTCCCCACAGGTCCTCAGCCAGAGGCTTGCTCATGTGCTTCACCTCCCAAGTCTTACGTTGACATACTTATGTCAGTCTGTGATTGGTGTGTTGGCTTGTTAGAGTATAGTCTCCTGGTGTGGGCACAGGTCCAGGGACTGGTTCATTCACTGCTCTGTCCCCAGCACTGTCCAGCACAGGCACAGGCACATAGAAGAAATCCTTTGCTTTACTCTTTTTTTTTTTTTTTTTGGAGACAGAGTCTCGCTTTGTTGCCCAGGCTAGAGTGAGTCCCGTGGCGTCAGCCTAGCTCACAGCAACCTCAAACTTCCAGGCTCAAGCAATCCTCCTGCCTCAGCCTCCCGAGTAGCTGGGACTACAGGCACGTGCCACCATGCCTGGCTAATTTTTTCTATATATATTAGTTAGCCAATTAATTTCTTTCTATTTATAGTAGAGACAGGGTCTCGCTCTTGCTCAGGCTGGTTTCGAACTCCTGATCTTGAGCAGTCCGCCTGCCTCAGCCTCCCAGAGTGCTAGGATTACAGGCGTGAGCCACCGCGCCTGGCCCTTTGCTTTACTCTTGTTCAGCGTAGTGACTCCAAGGAGTGACCTGTGAGTGTCACTATAAACTTCACAGATTTTTTTATATCAGTGGCTATATCAGACCCAGTTTAGGGGCAGGGACAGAGTAGGCACCTTGGGGATATTTGTTAAATGTCAGTCCTGCCAGGTATTGGCCATCACCCAGGGCAGACAGAGGCAAGAGAAGGGCAGGAAGGAAGGGAAGACATGGGCTGTTCAGGAAGGACTTCTTGGAGGAGAAGGTGGAGGCCTCAAGCTGGGTCACAGGCGCCTGAAACACAAAGCCCCTTCCCTCCCTTCCCTCCTGCCCCAGGCAGCTGCTGGCAGACGACCCGTTCTTCCGGGTGCCAGCTGTGGTTAAGGAGCTGTGCACAACAAGGGTGCTGGGCATGGAGCTGGCTGGAGGGGTCCCCCTGGACCAGTGCCAGGGCCTGAGCCAGGACATCCGGAACCAGGTACGTGGTCTCATGGCCCGGTAGGGAGGGCACTGCCTCAGGGTGGGGCTGGCACAGAGGGCCGGGCCCACAGTCTCTTTCTAGGCCAGTGAGGGCTCTACAGGGGCATATTGTGCTAAGATGTCCTTTACTCCTTGTTCCCACCCCAGATTTGCTTCCAGCTCCTGAGGCTATGTCTGCGGGAGCTGTTTGAGTTCCGATTCATGCAGACAGACCCCAACTGGGCCAACTTTCTGTATGACGCCTCCAGCCACCAGGTTGGTTCCTTGTGATATGTGTGTCAGGGTATGTTAGCTGAAAATGTTCCTTGATATTTCAGTAGCTCAACACAATAGCAGTTTATTAACCACACAACAGGCCCTTCTCCATGTGGTGATTCAGGGACCCAGGCTCCTTCCCTTTTGCGATTGTGCTGTCCCCTAGGGCCTTGCAATGCTCTGCTTCCGCTGGAAGGGGAAAGAGAAGTTGGGAGGCTAACCCCCTGCCTAACTGCTTTGGCCAGAAATGACACATCATTTCCTTTACCATTCCAGCAGTGAGAACTGGCATACCGCCTGTCTAGGTCCAAGGGATGCTGGAAATGGAGTCCCTGGCTAGGCAGTGGTTTCCTAGTGGCATGTGACAATATAGAAGAGAAAGTGCTTTTGGAAGGCAGTTAGCCAACACCTGCTGTATTTATGCCCCCACTCTCTGCCTCTTGACAGGATGACAAGACATCTCTGCCCTTGCCTTCTCAGGGTTCCCTGTCCAGTGGGGGACCTCACCACACAACTGTGACCGAAAGTAGTTAGCACCATGACAAGGAGGCACAGGCAGAGGGGTCAGGGTTGGGATGGGGGAGGCATAGGAAATTTGGCTGACCGGGCCTGGGGCAGGGTAAACCAAGGAAAGCTGAGACCAGAGAGAAGAGAAGGAGACAGCACCCAGAAGGCAGAGTGGAGTGTTCCCAGGGTGTCCAAAAACCCAGAGGCGAAGGTTTGCACTTGCAGACTTCTGTTGTCTGTGGACACATCTTCACCTTTAGCAGAGGTTGCTAAGTGGCTCTCCAAAGTGGTCTGTCCCCATTTTGTCCCCAGAGAGATCTTTCTAAAACACAAATCTGGTCAAGATACCCCTTCTGCAGCTCCCAGCACCTTCAGAATCAAGTGTGAGCCCTTTGCTAAGCATCCTCTGTCCCAGAGTGTCCAGCCTCAGTCCTTTGTCCCCCCTCTCCCAGCATGCACCCTGTGGCCTCTCCTAGGCTCACACCCCGTGGAAGTGTTTATCAAACACCAGGAGGTGATACGAGCCCTGACATCAATTTATTTGAGTTCCAACAGCATTTTTTCTTTTAATGGACTAGAATAGAAAACATCAGTGTATCACAGATGGGAGGGATCCATGTTATTGGGGACACTTGTTTAATGTTTATATTTATGGGTGCATATGCACCGACACCCAGTACAAGCTTTCTTTCTTACTGTGGGTTGTAGTCAGTTCCAACTTCACTGCCCTAGAGAAACTCTTACACACATGTTCCTCGAGCACAAAAATCAGAAAGAACCACAATGTCCGTCAGCCAGTAAGTGCTTTGTGATATAATCATGCAATGAAATCCTTATATAGCATGGAAAATGAATGGATGAGCTAGAGCTGCACATAGCAATGGGGATAAAGTGCAAAATCATTTTGGGCAAAAAACACAAGGTGCAGGATAACCACAGTAAATACCATTTATATGAAGTTTTAAAATATGCAAATCATCATGATACATTGTTTATGGATACACACATGCAGAAAATGTAGAAATACATGCATGGGAATTTCAGGATATAATAACAAGTTCAAGAACGTAGTAACTCTGGAAAAGACCTTGGGGACATGGGGGAGGTTCATCAGGACAGGATACACAGGAGGCTCTACCTGGATTGATGGTATTTTATATTTTAAGCTGGATGGTAGAATTTGTGGGTATTCATTTTACTTTTCCATATACTAATATTTTATTCTCTGGGTTTTTTTCTGTGTCTAAAATTTATTATTATATAAACAATTGGGACCAAAAGTAAATGAATAAATAAAAGCCAGATGCCTTCAGCTGCCCTATGAGGCAGACTGGAAGTGGGGACTGCAGGCCGGGAGCCCAGGGAGGCAGCGGCAGGGACTCTGGCTGGAGCGGGCAGGGTACAGGGTTGAGGGGAGGGAGAGACAGATCCTGGCTGGCCTGAGAGACAACAGGGGAATGTTAGTGGCTCCCAGCATTCCTTCCACCATTGCTCATTCCCAGGTGACCCTGCTGGACTTTGGTGCAAGCCGAGAATTTGGGACGGAGTTCACAGACCATTACATCGAGGTGAGTCCCCCCAACCCTGGGGCCTCTGAAGGGCTGAGGCTCAAGCCAGATACTAGGGCAGATGGGTAAGAAGGAGAAATACAGTATCTGGAATTAAGTAATAAATAATAATAATATTAGTAGCAGCTCACAAAGACTAAGCACTGAATATTATGTCAGGCACTGTTTTAAGTGCTTTACATAGAGTAACTAATTTCAACCATTGGCAACTCTATGAGGTAAGAACCATTTTTAGCCCTATTTTACAGATGAAGTAACTGGGGCTTAAAGAGGCTGAGCTGTTTGCCTAAGATCATAGCGGACCTGGGATTCAAACTCACGGTCTGGGTCCAGAGCCCATGCTCCAACCCCTGAGCACCCTGCTAAGCACCCTGCTAAGAGAAAGGCCCACAATGGCTATGTTGTCACCTCCCCAGGCCCACTGTCCAGGCCTGTTGTCTAGCCTGTGCTTATGTACCCCCCTGCAGTCTGCTCCTTAAGGGCAACTCTGTCCGTAGGAAGCACTTTGTTACCTCCTTTGCCTGTGCCTCCCACCTACCAGGTCACTTTGTCTCAGAGTCTGCAGAGATCCCATCTCATTAATTTGGCAAGATTGGACATTTGACTTGGGTCTTCTAATCATTTAGCCATCAGTCCGCACATTCTCTGATAACCTCCTCTGTGCCCGGCTCTATTCTGGGCAATACCAGGGACACAGCAGTGACCTAGGTCCAACTCAGATCCTGCCTTTACAGTGGGAGGAGAGACAGTGAGGACCCAGAGTGGACAGGACTGGGATGGGGTAAGCACAGGGGACTGAGAGAGCCCAGGGGAGGAGCCTGAGCCAGCCTGGGGAGTCAGGGGGGACTTCCCGGGGAAGAGATGTCAGAGTTGAGAACTGAGGGATGAGGAGGACCAATCAGGAAAAGGCTAGGAGGGTATTGCAAATAACAACATGTGCAAAGGCCGAGAGACAACAAAGACTATTCCTATTGAAGCAGTGCTTCTCAAACCGGTGGCTATCCCGAGAAAGTGCAGATTCAGATCCAGAGTTAGGCGTTAGATACTGCATTTGTCATTTGCTCCCAGATGATGCCAGGATGACGCTAGTGCTACCCGTAGGGGGACCACACTTTGAGTATTTGAGGAGTAAGGCCCTAGAGCACTAAAAAGAAGCTCTTATGTGACTAGGAGGACAGGTGGGGGCAGAGCAGGAGCCAGTGATGAGGCTGGAACCAAATCACCCTGGGTCTTAGAGGCCACGCTTTGCAGCTTGTACTTCATCCAGGTGCCCTGGGGAAGCTGGAAAGGATTTGAGCAGGGGAGGGACACAGTCAGATTTAGAAAACTCCACTATGTCTCTAGACCTGCTGATTAAAAAAAAAAAAAAAAAAGAAAGAAAACTCCACTGAATAACAAGTGGGCTCTAAGACTAGGGGCTGAGAGCCCAGGGAGGGCTGGAGAGAGGAGGAGGGGACAGTTGGGAGAGATGCCTTGTGGACAGTTCATGGGAGCTGACAGGCGGGGAATCAGAGGAGGGAGGTGTCCAGGACAAGGCCTAGGGCTCTGAGAAGGAACAGGAAGGAAGGAGGAGCTGGTGACCGCCCACCCCCTGCACACACAGGCCTCTTGGGGCCCTCTGCAGGCCACTTGAGGCACAAAGCCAAGGGCCCTCTGGGCAGCTGGGACATCCTGCCTCCCACCCTTCCCACCCAGGCCTGCAGCCTTTGCCAGTTTAAAAAGTCCTGTCACACTGCCCCCTGAGGACCACAGGCCTGACAGATGGCCAGACAGGCTGGGGCAGGAGGGAGCAGAGACAGAACAGACTGCCAGATTAATCCTGTATCCCCTTCCTCGCAAGAAAGGGCAAGGCAGTGGCTAAGGGTTGGACCCGGTTCCACTCCACACTCGGAGCCCGTTTCCTTTTCTGTGCAGTAGAGACCCTTGCATCCATGTCTCAGTCGTAACAGAGCGTGGTGTTCAGGGCGCTTCCGACTCGCAGACACAGTGTTAGGCACTCCGCACCCTTCAACTTCATCCTCCCAACAACCCCATGAGGAAGATACTTTCGTCATCCCTGCTTCACAGATGGGAAAGTGGGGGCCCAAGAGGCAAAGTGACTTGCCCAGAGTCTCTCAGCCAGCGAGCAGCAGAGCTGGGATGGGGCCCAGGCAAGCTGGCTCCAGCCTGGCGCTTCCGTGCCCATAACTGCTGCCCTCCCTGCATGAGCTCACTGCTGGAGAGACGCGTGACTCTCGGTGCCCTTCCATGGGGGCAGTTTCCAGGGCGGGACCCCTGACCACCTCCTCCCCAGCTCTGGAACAGTCTTGAGGGTGTCACAGACAGGGGCAGAGTGTGGAGGAAGAAGCTTCCAGGTGAAAGGGAGGGCCCTGGTAGATGAGAATGGAGGTGGGTATTGGGTGGAGGGGTGGCCAGGCTTCTAGCTCCTTTTCTCCAGAAGCCCCCTTGAACCCTCGCTTGGCCTTTGGGCCTCTGTCCCTCCCACCCACACCCTCTCCCCAGGTGGTGAAGGCTGCAGCCGAGGGAGACAGAGACCGGGTCCTGCAGAAATCCCGAGACCTCAAATTCCTCACAGGCTTTGAAACCAAGGTTGGGAGACACTGGGGGAGTTGGGGGCCGGTGTCTATTGGGTGGGGAGTCAGGAGCTGTCATCTCTGCTGAGGGACTCTGGCGAAGGATGGGGCTTGTCTCCACTGGGGCTAGTGGAGGTTGTGTGTCAATGCAGGGAGTAGGGAACTCTAGCTATAATGGGGGCTCCGGGCAGGGGTGGCGGGACACACTGCTTGACTACTAAGGATCCCTGGGAAAGTGGCCACCACTTATGGGTTCTAGAGGGTCGGTGGCTGCTCATGGGTTCTGGGGGTGGGAGCAGAGGCTGCTTATCTGTGGACAGTAGAAGGCTACTTGTCTGTAGAAGGCTCTGAGAGGAAGCGAGGAGCTGTTTATTTTGGGGGAAATAGGAACTGCATGCTACTGGAGGCTCAGAAAGAGTGGAGGCTACTTGTTACTCTTGGGGGAGTGGGGGCTTGTGTTTATACGTGAGGAAGCTGAGAGCTGCTTCCGGGTTAAGTGCAGGGTTCTATGTCCATACCGGGTGCATCTGCTGTCCCCACCCCTAGGCATTTTCTGATGCCCACGTGGAGGCAGTAATGATCCTGGGGGAGCCCTTCGCCACCCAGGGCCCCTACGACTTTGGGGCAGGGGACACTGCCCGCCGCATACAAGGCCTCATCCCCGTGCTGCTGCAGCACCGCCTGCGTCCCCCACCTGAGGAGACCTACGCCCTGCACCGCAAGCTGGCTGGCGCTTTTCTGGCCTGCGCCCGCCTCCGCGCCCACATTGCCTGCAGGGACCTCTTCCAGGACACCTACAACCGATACTGGGCCAATCGCCAGACACAGCCACTGACCAGAGGGGACCTCAGGGCGGATCCCTCCTGACAGCCTCTGCGGGAGATCCCAGGTCCAGCCCCAGAGCTGGGCCACCCCCCGCTGTGGTTCCTCCTGTCCCTGCCCTCTCTGCTCTGGGACCAGGGGGCCCCCTTGGGTTTCCCAGCCTTGCCTAGCTCCCCTCCTTGGCCCAGGAGCTCAGGAAGCCCAGGGCTAGGGAACTTCCAAGTTCATGGCCTGTATCCTGCTGCTCCCCACTCCAAAGTGAGTGTCCAGGAATTCTAAGCCAGGGAAGCGGTTAACTTATTTCTGCCAACATGTGAGGGAGCCCTCAGGCCTTCTGCGTGCCATTATTGAGAACCGGACTCTGAGCGGGCGAGCCCCTCACCTCTGCCTGGGGTCTCCTGGTCTCCGAAAGAGAGATGGTGGCCAGTGGATTCAGCTCTCACCTTTGTCTCCCTCACTCTTCCACCAGCTGTCTTCACCCGGGTTCCAACCTCTCTGTGTGTTGGAGGGGTTGGGGGGTGGTGAACCTTCAGTGGGAATAAAAGCGACCCTCCCCTTCCCCCAGCTCTTTTCTGTGCTCGGGGTGGGGGAGAGGAACTCCCCGGCGGCCTCCAGGTGCAGATGGCTAGCCACTCCCAACCCCCTTGTTTGGAAGCCCCAGCCCTGCCTGGGCCATCTGTTGCCAGGAACCTCCCCCTGCCAGTGCTGACCACCTGCTCGAAAGGCTGTGGCAGCTGAGAAGGCCTCCCCCACACACTGCCTCTCAGCCTCCCGGCTTCCCGGCTTCAGGCTCCCTCCCCTAGCTCCCGGCAACCTCGCCTTTGCTAATGGGCCCTAATGCCCCTGCCAGCTGCCTTGCCAAACCCACAGGACTGGGGGAGGAGCGGGGGCGCCGTAGCGGCCACGACCGCGCCCTGGTTCCAGCCCGGCGCCCCCGCCCTCAAAGCCGAACCGTTCGGGTACCAGGATGTCGGGGTCTGTTCATTCCCCCTCCCCCTCCTTGCAAAAAGTGCCTGGTCACCGCTTCTGCCCGCCCCCGCCGGGCTGGGAGAACCGTGGGGTTAGCCGGAAGATTTGGGGATGTGGGGCGGCAAGGCGCCTTCTGCAGCAACTCTTTCCGACGCGGAACTGGAGGGGATCTGAGGTCAGGGGTCACGGAAGGGAAGGGAGCCCTCGCCGGGAAGACCTGGGGTAAGGACTCCGCGAGGCTCATGTGCATGCTCAGCCCGCGACTGGCCAATGGGCGTGGCGGGGCGGTGGCCGCGCTGGAGAAGGCGGGGTTGTATTTGCGTACGGGCGTGGCCTGCGGGCCAAGGGGCGGGGCTGGGGCCGGCGAGGCGCCGGGACGGGGCGGGGTCTTTTTGCATATCCAGCCGGCTGCGGGCCAATGGGCGGGGCTGGGGCGGAGAGCCGAGGCTGGAGGGACGATCCCCCGCCCCCGGAACGGAATCCTCCGGGGAGCCGAGCAGGGTCGCGCGTGCATCCCGCACCATCCCCCGGCCGCGGGCCCTGGCCCGCGTCAGAGCGAGCCGCCGCCGCCACAGCAGCAGCAGCACTCGGGGAGCCGGGCCCAGCAGGGGCCGCGGGAGGCGGGGGCGCCCGGGCCCTGGATGTCTCGCAGCGCGGCGGCCAGCGTGAGAAGGGCGGGAGAGGGGGGCTCGGGTCGGGGGCGGCGCCGCTGCTGATGTGGCGGAGGGTGGAAGGCGGCCGCGGCGCCCGGATGGAGAGACAGTGCCAAGGCTGAGGAGGGTGGTCCTGGGTGGGCGTCCAGGAACAGGCCCCCACCAAGCCAAAGCCCGGGAGACGGGGTTCCCGAGTACAGACCTCGAGGCCGTCCCTTACCAAGGCCCTGGAAATAGGGATCCTGGACAGACTCCCCCCAGAATATCAAGGACAGGGCTACAGAGATTCTAGGTACAACTCTCTAGGCAAGGTTTTGGGGATGGGGTCCAAGACACAGCCTCCATATGAAGGCCTCCAGGAGGCAATCCCTGCCTGAGAGGATCTCTAAGCCCAGCAGCCCCCTAGGCAAGGTCTATAAGGATGGGGTCCCTGGGTGCAGCTTTCCCACCAAGCCAAGGCCTGGGGGAATTCCAGGCACAGTCTGCCCCCAAGCCTCAGGGGCATCCTGGGCACAGCATTCCACCCCCCCAAACCTTGGGCGGCGTCCCAGGTATAGCCCCTTCTCAAAACAAGGTCCCCGTGCCTGGGACTCTATCCAACCCCAGCCTGAATAAAATAAGAATTTAAGGTAACCTCCTGTCCCCCCCACCCCAGGCTTGGCCAAGGGTCCCAGGGCACAGGTCCCTAGGCCACCCCCTTTGTCCCCAGGGCTGCTCAGCTGTCCGAGAGAGAGGCCCCACCCGCAGACAATGCGCCACCTCCCCCTCCCAGCCCTGGCCCCCCAAGCTCCAGGATCCAGGCCCGGCTGGGGGCGGCTCCCCAGGGACCCCGTGCAGCCGTGCAGCGTGCAGCATCCGTGGTGTTAGCGGCTTTGTGTGTGGTACCTGGGGGGAAGGGGGAAAGCAAGTGATCGGGAGGTGGCTAGGAGTGTGACCCTGTGTTTGTGACTGGCTGTGTTCATGTGTGCATGCGCTGCAGCTGGCGACTGTGAGGAATCCTGTGTCGTGTGTCTGTGTGCGTGCTTGTGGTTGTATGTGGTGGTGTCTGTGATTGTGTTTGTGTGTGACCTCAGTATTTGTGTGACTGTATGTGTGTATGACAGCCGCTCACTGTGCAGTCCCCTGTACTTTTTAGTCTGCATGGTTGTGACTGTGTGGTTATGTCTGTGATTGTCTTTTGTGACCTGTTTGTGTGCTTTGGTAACTATAACTGGATATGTGACAGTATATGTGTTGAGTCTGGGGTTGGGCATGTGTGTGACTGACAGGGTGTAGGCGGAGTTGTGACTGTGTGTGTAAGTGGAATTGTGTCTATGACTCCACGTCTGCGTGTGACTCTCCCAGTGACTGAGAATGTTTGTGGTTGTATCTATAACTGATTTCATATATATGAGTGACATACAACTGTCTGCAGCTCTGAGTGTGTGACTGCCATTGTATCTGAAGTTACATCTATGGGACTGGGGTTGTGTATGACAGAGGTTGTATATGCTTAACCATGTCTGTGTGTGTGACTGAGGTTGTATAAATGACTTTATATCTAGCTGTGTCGTGTGTAATACCGAGTGATTCTGTGTATTTATAGTCTTGTATGTGTGATTTGGGTTATAAATTTGAGTTGGTGTCCGAAACACTGGCTACTTTAAGGGGTTATTTAATTGTGTGTCACTCAAGCTATGGACATGTCTATGTGTGCTGATGCCAGGTAACTGTGTGTGTTTGTGGGGGTGTGTATGTGACTGTGGCTTCTATATTCCTGTGTGTGACCCTGGGTGACTGTGCCTATATCTGTGTCATAGTCTGTGAGAGTGTGGCTGTTTTTGTCTGTGTGTGTATGTGCTGGATTACCTGTGTTTGAACTTGTGTGATTTGGTGCTGAGGGAACTGGACCCTGGTTGCACACGTGGCTTTGTCAGGGACCAGGTCTTCTTATAAACCCGGCACTAAATGGCACGTCTGGGCTACAGCATTTGTGTGTATACACCCAACTGTGTCCTTGTGATATGGAAAATTAAAACTGTGTGCTTATTTCTCGGTGTGTGAGATATTCTGTGTGTAGGTGGGGCTGTGACTTTGTGCACCTGTCCACACAGGGCTGTGATTATATGTGGCCACATACTTGCCTATGTGACTTGTGTATCTGCATGAAGGAAAAAACGTATGTTTCTCTGTGATGGTGTGACATGGTATGGCTGTGTGGGGGACACTTGGTGATGATATTATGACCAGCATAGATGGCTGGGGAATGTGCGCACTGGTGCTGTGAGACTGTGCTTGCAGGACCACTTCTGGAATGTTTCTGGATATGTCTGAGGGTAGCCGTCCTTGGGGATCGTGGTTTCTGGGTGGTGACATGCTGTGCCTTGTGTGTGTATGATGCACAGGGCTACGGCCATCAGTATCTCAGTGAGTGTGTATCGAAGACTGTCCTTGTAAGTGTGGCTGTCACCGGAGACTCACTGGTGCTGCAACCAAATGTGAGTATGTACGACTGGGTACGTGTGATAGCATATGACCCCATGAAAGCTGTGCTGGTGTGACTGATGCACTTGAAGCTGAAGGTCCACGTGCAGCTGTGGCTGTGTGTGGTCTGTGGTCCGCCTGTGTCATCTAGTACCAGATGTCAGTGTGCGACAGTGGAGATACATGTGGCGAGTGTGTGTAGCTATGATTGTGTCATTATTGACATTATTGGGTGTGATTCTGTCTGGGTGGGCCTGTGACGTGGGTACCTTGGGTGGGTGCCTGAGGAAACATGATTGTCATGGGGTGTGGTTGTACTCTTGTTGCTCTGGTGTGTGTGGCTGGGCCCAGTTCTTTGTATGTGGCTAAGAAAATGGAAGTGACCAAATATTAGTAGCTGGTGTGACCAGGTGTATGGTGGGGCCACAGCGGGCTGGGACACTCTTACAAGTATGTGGGCAAATGTCTGTAGTACAGACTGTGTGTGTCTGTGAACGTGAACATGTGGCCAGATGTTTATAGTGGCAGCTTTCTGTGTTTGTGACCATTTCTGTGTCTCTGTGCAATCTGAGGTATGTAGTGATAGTGTCTGTGTGTAACCAAGAGTGAAGAGCTTTAACCAGGTGCTAGGGACAGCTGTAGACATGAGTTGGCTACATATAGGTGACTGTATTCTATAGCCCTGGACATGTGTCTAGAGAGCAAGGCCACTGTCCTCACACCATCCCCTTGGTACTGAGGGTCTCTTGAGGCCAGCACATCCCAAACAAATTTCCCCCCAACACACCTACTCATTTCTGGGCCCTTGGAACCAGGTGGCTGATCTCCTTGGTAACAGTTGCCATGGCAACTAGGGCTCTCATCTGGGAGCCTGGATGGAGGGGGCTGGCTGAAGTCCAAAGGTGTAGTGTGGTAGGGGATGGAGCCCCACCCCAAACAAACTTCTCAACTTTTCCTCCCTCCCTTGGGCAGGGCGGACCCAGGAGGACTGAGCAGCATCTGCCCCCAGCCCCTTGTGGGGCCCCGGGGCCCCTTGAAACCTCCAGGACGGAGCCAGGTTAGTGGCCAGCTTGGGACATGGCAGGGGCTGAGTGGGTAGGAGGGTGTGCTTAGCATGACCAGGGGAAATGTACCCACAGCTACCCCAGCTTCATGATGTTCATGAGTGCATGTCCTCAAACATCTCCCCGCACCCTCAGCGACCGCCAACCCTGCTGGTTCCCAGACACCGTACCCCCGCCAGCCTCACGCTCACAGACGCAGGGTCACACACACTCAGACCCTCACACGTCTGTGGACACACACACGGATGACGATCTCTTTCAGATCCACACACACTTATTTTATTTTTTATTTTTTTGAGACAGAGTCTCACTTTGTTGCCCAGGCTAGAGTGAGTGCCGTAGCGTCAGCCTAGCTCACAGCAACCTCAAACTCCTGGGCTCAAGCGATCCTGCTGCCTCAGCCTCCCGGGTAGCTGGGATTATAGGCATGCACCACCATGCCCGGCTGATTTTATCTATATATATTAGTTGGCCAATTAATTTCTTTCTATTTATAGTAGAGATGGGGTCTCGCTCTTGCTCAGGCTGGTTTTGAACTCCTGACCTTGAGCAATCCACCCGCCTCGGCCTCCCAGAGCGCTAGGATTACAGGCGTGAGCCACCTTGTCCAGCCCTACACACACTTATTAACCCAGTGACAGACACCCTTAAAGATGTGCGTAAGTAGAGGTTCATTCACGCCAACATGCACACGCACCTGCATGTTCATGTGGATGGATCGATCCACGCACACAAATACAGAGACCCATTCCCAGACAACACCCAGACTCACACAGGTGATCGCAGGTGCCCACCAGATACACACTCTCAAGAGACCCGTTCTTGCACACACCCTGCCAGACGACACACACAGACCCACACGTTCCCAGTCAACAGCCGCACTTTCACACACAGACACAGCCTCCCAGACTTCACCTGTGGTGCCAGCCTCTCACAAAGGGCTACACTTTTGCACAGTCTCACAAAGAACACTCAGCACTGACGACAGTCACACGGTCACAGACAACACTCCCAAAGACAACGACCTCGTGTTCTTGCACACTCTCACAGATGCATCACGGTGTACGGACACACAAGCCTGGCCTCAGACTAGACACAGTTGTCACAAAGTGACAGAGACAAGCCACCATCCCTCACACTCACACCCCCCCCATGCACCACGACCCATGCAGTTCCCAGCTTCTGTGCCCTCTGATCACCTCATTGCCTGACCCTCATGCCCCTAAACTCCTGACCTGGTGACCTCTGACCCCTGTGCACTCTAACCCCCATGCCCTCCAATGCCCGACTTCGCATCCTTCGGATCCCCGTGGCTCTTGGCCATCACATCCCCAGCCCCCAAGCCCCGCAAACCTGCGATCCATAACCCGCCACCGCAGACCTCCACGCCCCTTAGCCCCACGTTTCTGAATCCCCACTGCCCAACTCTCGCGTTCCCCTGCCACGTGCTGTCTCCTTTCCCTGTGTCCCTCAGTCCAGCTGCTGATCCCATGTCCTCTGACCCAGGGACCCCACGCTCATGTTATCTGACCCTAACCTCCCCAAGCACCGTGTCCCTTCCCGTTGAGCCCCATACCTTCTGACTTCCGCCCTTGACCCCCACCCCTGTCCTGTGTCACCAGACGGGGCGGGCACCATGAACAAGTTACGGCAGAGCCTGCGGCGGAGGAAGCCAGCGTACGTGCCGGAGGCGTCGCGCCCGCACCAGTGGCAGGCGGACGAGGACGCGGTGCGCAAGGGCACGTGCAGCTTCCCGGTCAGGGTGAGTGGGCGGGGCGCACGGTGGCGGTCGGCTCTCCGCAAGATTGCTATGGCAAGAGACTTCACGTTCTCAAAGACCTGCAGCCTGTGGGGGCTCTTTCGAACTTGGTATTAAAACCAAGACATTCTCTGTACCAGGAAACTATTACTACATAGGGGACATCATGTCAAGGGTCACCCTATTGTATGGGGGTTCACAGTTTCCAATGGTGAACCCTCCGCTGGGAGGTCACATGAATTGTGTGGCATTTGCAAAGCGCTCTACTGTCAGGGGCTTTCAGGTCTAGACAAACACCACCCTACGATGGGAGGGAGACAGCAGGATTCGGGGCAAGGGCTGTGGAGCTCAGCTCTTCCTGGCTGGGCAACAGCTGGCGGTGATCACAGCCCCTCCACCTTACTGTCCCTTCCTCCGGAAGCAGACCCTGAGTGTGAGGGGCTCCTTAGGGAGGCGCAGGAAGCGCTAGTGGGAGTGAGGAAGGGAAGGCAGCCAACAGAGGGTGTGTTACAAAACTGCTGCTGTGGGCAGCTGAGCTTCCCCCGGGGGGAGTCATCCCTCTACAGGTGAGGGGGCTGGAGTACCCCCCTCCCACCAGTCATTGCAGGGCGCTGGCCCACGCTCCTCCCTGCTTTAGGGTGAGCAGAGCAGCTTTTGGTGGCCTGGGGCCAGTCCTCAGGCACAGACTTGCAAACACTGGCGTTCAGAAGGACCAGGGTGCAGTGTTAAGGCCCAGGGATATAGCCAGACAAAAACTGCTGCGACATGCCACGCTTTAGTCTTCTCATCTGCACATGGGTACTAGGAATGGGGGTATCCCCCTTGCAGAGTTGAGGTACAGAATAAATGAATACATACTAGGTGCTTAGATTATTGTCCGACACGTGGCACATGCTCGGTAGACACTGGGGTTGTTGGTTACTGTGCTGTTTCATATCCTCCCGTCCCTCACCCAAGTACCTGGGCCACGTGGAGGTGGAGGAGTCCCGAGGGATGCACGTGTGTGAAGAAGCTGTGAAGAAGCTGAAGGCGGTGAGTGAGGCCGGAGCGAGGGAGGGGCGAGGACAGAGAGGACAAGGCAGCCCCGACCTGACCAGGTCCCTCTGTCCCCATCTCTCACCCCAGATGGGCCGAAAGTCCGTGAAGTCTGTCCTGTGGGTGTCGGCCGATGGGCTCCGAGTGGTGGATGACAAGACCAAGGTAGGAGGCCGATGGGGGTGGAGCTGGACCCCAGGGGGCCCCTCTCTTCGCTCTGCTTGAATTGGGACCAAGGACAGCTTTCCACCCCGTCTGGGATATCCCACCCTCAGGGACCATCTAGACTATGCCATGTGCTCATTTCATTCACAGTTGGAGACCGAGTGCTGTGGTGGTTTGTGAGCTAGTATGGATGGTGGGTGAGAACAGACTGGAGCAGCTGCCTGATCCCAGCTTGGGGGACCCTGGGCATAAGATCTGGGCCTTGTTATGTCATCTAAAATAGGGGAACAATAACAGCCCCTACCTTTACATGAGAAAGTAGGTGCAAATGGCTTAAGATGGTGCCTGGCACATGGTAAGCACTCAGATCATGGAATGTTAGTTGTTCCATGTTTTTGGTCGTTCCGCACAGCCAGATGGAAGCGCCCCGAGGCCGGGATCTGGATATCTGTTTGCCCACCACTGAGTCCCCTGCCCAGAGACTGCCCCAGGAGGTGCCAGGAATGCTGGGAGCTGGGTTAATGACAGAACAGGATCACCATATTTGCAGGCGGTTCCCTCAGCCTGAGATACTGTTCCCTGCCTTTTTGCCTAATTTAATCTTTGGGAAGCTTTGCCTGACTGCACCCATGTAGGCTTTCTCCATCCCAGCCCTGACCCCTCCGCCTGTGTCCCTCCATCCTGGTCCCGAGTCCTCTGTCCACGCCTCCCCCATTACAGCCCAGCTGTGACTCTGGGTAGTCTCCAACTCATGATGGGTCTGACTTCCCCTGAGAACTGGGAGCTCCCTGCAGGAGGGACCATGCCCGTCTCCATGACTCCCGGGTCCCCACCCCATGCAGGACCGGATTTCACCAGACACTAAGGGAATGTTGAATGAATACATGAAAGACAGTCCATGCTCCTCTCCTGGCCTCCCTGTCCACTTCTAGGACCTGCTGGTGGACCAGACCATCGAGAAGGTCTCCTTCTGTGCTCCTGACCGCAACCTGGACAAAGCCTTCTCCTACATCTGTCGGGACGGGACCACCCGCCGCTGGATCTGCCACTGTTTCCTGGCGCTCAAGGACTCTGTGAGTATTGCCACAGCCGGCCAGCCCTTCTCTCCCATCCCAGCTCTGCCTTGGTGTCCCAGCCCCACCCCGCAGGCTGTGTGGATCCAGGCAAGTCACTCACCTCTCTGTGCCCAGTTTCCTCATCTGGAGATGGGGGTGTACTCGCAGTTCCTAACTCAGACAATTATTGTGAGACTTGAGTGGGTTAATACAGGGTGTTTAGAACAATGCCTAGCACATCTGAATCACGCAGCAGCGGCGACAGCAGACAGGAACGTACAGACTGTCAGGGTGCAGCGCCATGGATTTTCGCATAAGTAAAAACCCCACCCAGGTCGGCCGGGCGCGGTAGCTCATGCCTGTAATCCTAGCACTCTGGGAGGCCAAGGCGGGAGGATTGCTCGAGGTCAGGAGTTCGAAACCAGCCTGAGTGAGACCCTGTCTCTCCTAAACATAGAAAGAAATTAATTGACCAACTAAAAACATATATACAAAAAATTAGCCGGGCATGGTGGCGCATGCCTGTTGTCCCAGCTACTCGGGAGACTGAGGCAGAGGGATTGCTTGAGCCCAGGAGTTTGAGGTTGCTGTGAGCTAGGCTGACACCACGGCACTCATTCTAGCCTGGGCAACAAATGAGATTCTGTCTCAAAAAAAAAACCCACCCAAGTCAAATTAAATATCCTGACCCCCGAAGGCTCCCTGGGGTCCTTCTCAAACAACACCCCACACAGCACCCACTGTTCCTTCAGCCTCAATTCATTTTGCCTGTGGTTCTTAATAACTTAGGGGAATCAGGGTCCCCTCTGAGAATCTGATGAAAGTGACATATGGACCATCTTCTGAGAAGCATTCGTGCAGTTAAGGTACTGAGGCTTGTGTCAGAACCACCCCCCATACCAGTGGTTTCAGTGAAATAGAAGTTTGTCTCTGTTTCACGTGAAGGAAACCTAAGGCAGTTGGTGTGGCATTGGTGTGGCACCTCTGTTCATCAGGAGCTGCAGTTCCTTTCAACTTTTTGCTCCTCCAGAGTAGGGCTTCCACTCTATGATTCAAGATGGATACGTATGCTCCAGCCTTCACGTCTCCATTCCAGCCAACGCCAAGTAGGGAGGCATGGAGAAGGGCATATCCTTTCCTCTTCAGGAGGCACATAGCCATTTATTTACATCCTATTGGCCAGAACCTAGTCACATGGACATTCCTGGTTGCAAAAGATGGTGGAAAATGTAGGCTTTATTCTGCCCTGTGCTCTGGTCCCTGACCTCAGACTCCACAAAACACTGGCAGGAAGCCATAGTCTCTGTTCCCGACATTAGCCAGTGTTTGATTGCTAGCAATAGAAATTAATCTGGCTAACTTAAACCCAGAATGAGATTAATGGAAGGACCTGAGGGATCTCACAAAATTGAAGGACAGATGGGACCATTGAGTCTCAGAAAGTGCAGAGAGCACAGCAGCCTTGCACACTGCACAGCTGGGCAGTTTCTTTAGGGCACTGCTGCAGAAGAAATTCTGCAACACTCTGGGTTCAAATTCCAGCCAGAGGGTATGGGATTAGCCTAGCTTGAGTCAGTGTCTTCCTGTTGGCCAGAGCAGGGTGGAGCACCCAGACTGACTTATACAGTGTTGAAGAGGAATTCCCCACAGGGAAACTGGGGTGCTGTTATCAAAAGCGGGAGGACTGGATGCTGGCCAGAACAAATTAGACCTGTCCATCACAGGCCCTAACAGCCTCTACTCAAGCATTTCCTGTCTTCCCCTTCATTTTTCAGAAATCTCCACTCCAAATAGCTCTGAGCCTCCAAAACTAATCAGTATCCCCAACCTCCCCACGCACACAATTCAGAACAGAAACCAGATAGCAGACGTGGAAAATAAATTTGAGAATGGCAGTGTTGGTTAGTCACTATTTTTTTTTTTTTAAGACAGTCTCGCTTTGTTGCCCAGGCTAGAGTGAGTGCCGTGGTGTCAGCCTAGCTCACAGCAACCTCAAACTCCTGGGCTCAAGCAATCCTCCTGCCTCAGCCTCCTGAGTAGCTGGGACTACAGGCATGTGCCACCATGCCTGGCTCATTTTTTCTATGTATATTAGTTGGCCAATTAATTTCTTTCTATTTATAGTAGAGATGGGATCTTGCTCTTGCTCAGGCTGGTTTCGAACTCCTGATCTCGAGCAATCTGCTTGCCTTGGCTTCCCAGAGTGCTAGGATTACAGGCGTGAGCCACCACGCCCAGCCCGTTAGTCACTGTTGATTAGTGCCTGCCAGAGGCTGGCGTGGAGGTATTAGGAACCCCAGAACTCGTAGCAACTTCTGTTTCCTGAGCATGGCATAGCGGATAGTAGTCATATCAGTAATCTCTTGCTGCGTAACAAATTGCTCCAAAACTTTGTGGCTTAAAGTTATAGTCATTTCTTATCTCTCATAGTTTCTGTGGGTTAGGAATTTGGGAAGGGCTCAGCTGGGCGGTTCTGGCTCCAGGTTCTCTCATGCTGTTGCCGTCAGATGGTGTCTGCAGCTGTAACACCAGGAGGATAGTTGGACACTCTCTTTCTTCCTGTAGTCTCAGGACCTCTCCACAGGGTCTTTCCAGCACGGAGGCTTCAGGATAGCTCAGGGGTCCAAAGCGAGTGGACAGAGAGAGAGAGTGAGTGTGAGCATGAGCATGTGAGTATAAGAGAGAGCAAACACACTCACAAGCCAGGAGGAGCTATATTGTTGGCATTTTGGACTTAGTCTTAGAAGTCAGACAGCATGGCTTCCGTGGTACTTTATTTGTCCAGGCAGTCACAGAGATCTTCCCAGGTCTTCCCTGGCTAAGGGCAGAGGACATAGACTCCACCACTAATGGGAGAGTCACAAGGTTCTAGAAGAACCTGTGGGGCCAGAAATTAGTTGTGGCTAATTTTGGAAAAAACACTGCCAAATGGTTAGTAGTTGGCTAGTGTAGATGCAGTGTCAAAGTATACCACTGTGGGACCCGAGCTTCTCCTCTCTGGGAATAGTAGTGGCTTCACACAAGTTTGTGGGGAAGCGTTCATTGTGATCATCCACAGAGAGTTGTAAACAGAGTCCTGTAATAAGTGTTCAACAAATAGGAATAGTTGCTATAATTTGTAAACCATCTGGAGAAGAAAATCAAAGCTGAAAAAGAACAGGACCATCCTCTGAGTAAACAGTGTGATGTTGGGTGAATTCCTCCTCACTTCTGGGGAAGTAGGAAGTTTTAAGCATTAAAGCAGTAGAATTCCCAGGATTCCTCAACTTTAACTTTTTCTTTCTTTTTGAGGTGAAAATTTTTTTTTTACTTCTCTATTTCCAATTTGGATGTCTTTTATTTCTTTTTCTTGTCTAATTATTCTGGCTAAAATTTCTTGTACAACATTGAAAAGAAGTGAGGAAAATGAATATCCTTGTCTTGTTTCTGATCGTAGGGGGAAAGTTTTCATTTTTTTCCCCATTGATTATGATGTTAGTTGTGGGGTTTTCATAAAAGTCCCTTATCAGGTTAAGGAAGTTGTCTTCTATTCCTAGTTTGTTGAGTGTTTTTATCATAAAAGGGTATTGGACTTTGTTAAATGCTTTTTCTGCACCAATTGATATAGTTATTTTTTCCCCTTCATGTGGTTTTTTTTCCTATTAATGTTTTCCCCTATTACACTGGCTGTTTTTCATATGTTGAACCAACCTTGCATTCCTGGGATAAATCTTACTTGGTCATGGTACATAGTCCTTTTAATACGCTGCTAGGTTTGATTTGCCAATATTTTGTGGAGGATTTTTGTCCTCAAGTTTAACTTTAAGAGGTAGCTGAGCAACTTGGTTGGGAAACAGAAGTCAGATACATCTCTGAATCCCAGCTGTCACTTGTTATAATAGGTGTGTTGATGTGTCACCTGAACCTCAGTTTCTTCACCTGTAAAATGGGTTCATAAGAGCGTCCATCTCTTGGCACTGCTGCGAGGATTCTGTGAGAGGATGCCAGTCAGGGCTCAGCCCAGGACTGGACAGATTTCCACTGACACGTACGTGGTAATTCCTGTGTGTGGCTCTATGCGTATGCCTTGCCTATCGTAGTTCACCTGATTATTGCTACAACCCTGTAAAGTATGTATTCTTGGGACCCTCACTTTACAGGTGAGGAGACTCAAGCACTGTGACAGTGCCTGAGACATTGACAGTGACATTTTTGAGAACATACAGTTAGGAACTGGGAAGCCAGCATCAATCCCAAGCTGGCTGGCCTTGGGGCCTCCCAAGGAAGCACTCAAGAAACAAGGGCTGTTGTTTTCTACTCCAACATCGTCATAAAGCTTTCTCAAGCATGCTGCAAAGTTGAAAGACTCATACAGTAACCAGTTACCTGTACACCCCCATCCAGACCCCACGGTTAGCATTGCCCTGTGCTTACTTTTTCACCTATCTACCCATCTGATTTTTTTTTATGCATTTCAAAGTTGCAGACATCAGACTACCTCCCCCTCAACACTTCAGCATGCACACCACTAAGTAGAATTCATATTTGTTTCCAGATCTTTTTCTTTTGAAGTGAAATACGTGCATATCTTTGTTCAGGCTGCTGTAGCCAAATACTGTAGACTGGGTGGCTTAAATGACAATCATTTCTTTCTCACCATTCCAGAGGCTGGCAGCCTGAGATCAGGTGCCAGCATGGTCCAGTTCAGGGTGCAGGTTCTCCCTTCGTGGTTTGCAGATGGGCGGGTGCCTTCCTGCTGGAGCCTCCCATGGGGAGGGGGAGGGGAGACACCTCCTATCTCTCTCTCCTTTTATAAGGACATTAATCCCATCATGAGGACCCCACCTCATGACCTAACATAACCCTAATGATCTCCCAAAGGCCCCACCTCCCAAACCCCATCACCGTAGGATTAGGGCTTCACCGTAGGAACAGGCAGGGGGAGACTCGAACATTCGGTGCGTAGCAATGCTACCGCATAACCTTCGGTGTACGTCAGATGCATTTTGACAACACAAGACGTGTGTAACCAAACTCTTATCAAGATTTAGAACATTGCCAGCAGCACAGATGTCCCCTTATGCCCCTTTCCAGTAATGGTGCCCCCCCCGCCCCCCAAGAAGCGACCACTGTTCTGACTTTTTTCACTATAGATTAGTTTGCCTCTTCTAGAATTTCAGGTAAGTGGAGCTGTGCAGCAGGCACTCGTTTGCTCCCTGCTTCTTTCGCTCGGGGCTGTGGTTCGCAGCTCTTCCTGGAGCACTGGCGCCCAGAGAAGTGAAGGGACGCATCTGGGGCCACCCAGCGCCCCTGGCGTCGGGTCCCCACAGACAGCGCCTCTGACCCCCGCCCGAACCCCCCTCCCCAGGGTGAGAGGCTGAGCCATGCCGTGGGCTGTGCTTTCGCCGCCTGCCTGGAGCGGAAACAGCGCCGCGAGAAGGAATGTGGGGTCACGGCTGCCTTCGACGCCAGCCGCACCAGCTTCGCCCGCGAAGGCTCCTTCCGCCTGTCGGGGGGCGGGCGGCCCGCCGAGCGCGAGGCCGCGGACAAGAAGAAAGGTGGGTGCTGCCCAGGGCCGGCCGGGCAGAGTCGGGAGAGGTGGGGCCGGGAACCCAGTTTTGGGGGAGAGCTGCAGAGGTCCAAGGGCTCCTCAGTTTACCAGGCAGGGCAGCAACCCCCAAGTTTGGTTACAGTTCACAAAGTATATGTCAGTTTAAGGAGTTCTTTGGGCAACAAATCAGGCGGGGGCTCCAAGCAGTTTACTCTCTGCCACATTTGGGGGGGGGCGCTCCCAGAGCTTTTCAAGATGTGTATCAAGGCCTCTGAGGTCAGTTTGCTGGATTGTGCCTGGCATTTTAAAAAATGAAATAGAAATACGGGCTGGTGGCTGGTGCCCGTAATCGTAGCTACTTGGGGGGCTGAGAGGCAGGAGGATGACTTGAGACCAGGAGTTGAAGACCAGCCTGAGCAACATAGAGAGACCCCCTCTCTACAAAGACTTTAAAAATTAACGGGCATGGTGGTTCTCTCCTGTAGTCCCAGCTACTTGGGAGGCTGAGGTAGGAGGATCGCTTTTGCCCAGGAGTTAGAGGCTGTTGTTAGCTACAACTGCGCCACTGCACTCTAGCCTGGGCAACAGAGCAAGATCCCATCTCTTAAAAAAAAAGAGAGAAAGAGAGAGAGAGAAAGAAAGAGAAGATATATCAAAGTACATTGAATATAGTACATGTTAATATAGTTTAATGATAGGTTTATTTGAGCATACGTGTATGTCTATGTAAGGTGTTGCCATGTAAAAAGTATATCTTACTGTGATCAGAAAGTTTAAAAAATACCTGGTAAAACTCGAACATTCTAGGTAAATGGTAAATACTTTGTAAGTTCTCAAACAATGTGATTTTTTAAAAATATAATTGTATGTATGTGTTGAATTACAATGTGATTTAATTTTTACTTTTTTTTTTTACTGTGGATTCCAGTTTTAAAAGTTTTAGAAAATAATGCTTAGAGTTTACAAAGAATTTACCATTGGGAACTGAGCCAGATTAAAGGAGACTAAAGAAACTGGACAAAAAAAAAAAAAAAGAAAGAAACTGGACAAGTATTAATAGATGCAATGTGTGATCCTGAATTGGATCCTGCATTGTAAGAAGAAAAAGAAAGAATATCTATAAAGGACATGAATCGGACAATTAGGAAAATCGAAATATAGAATGTTGATTGGATAATAGTACTTATCTTTGTTATATGTCCCCAGTGAGAAATTATACTGTGGATAAATTATGCTGTAGGAGAATATCCTTGTTCTTAGGAGGCACATAGTGAAGGCTACAAGCTTGATGGTATAGAAAAAAAATAGAGAGCAAGCAAATGAGCATGCAAATAGGATAAATGTTAACAACAGGGACCACAGATTAAGAGAATGTGTTTGTTCATTGTTCCATTATTACGATTTTTCTGTAAATTTAAAACATTTCTAAATAAAAAGTTAGGAAACCTAAGTTTTTATAACTTACTAGGATGTTAGAGTTTACAGAGTAGGTTTTTTATTTGTAAATTACATGACCATTTACAAACCTCTTTTTTTTTTTTTGAGACAGAGTCTCACTTCTGTTGCCCGGGCTAGAGTGCCATGGCGTCAGCTTAGCTCACAGCAAGTTCAAACTCCTGGGCTCAAGCGATCCTCCTGCCTCAGCCTCCTGAGTAGCTGGGACTACAGGCATGCGCCACTATGCCCGGCTAATTATATATATATATATATATATATATATATTTAGCCAATTAATTTCTTTCTATTTATAGTAGAGACGGGGTCTTGCTCTTGCTCAGGCTGGTCTCGAACTCCTGACCTTGAGCAATCCTCCCACCTTGGCCACCCAGAGTGCTAGGATTATAGGCGTGAGCCACCGCACCCGGCCTACAAACCTCTTTACAAAGTTCTTCGCAGTTTCTGAAGTATTTTGCTGTTTACATTTTCTTTAGAATTTGTAAAGAATTTTACCATGGACAAAGTCAATTACAGAGTGAAGTTGACAAGGGGAATGATAGAGTTTATGATGTGTTATTGTTTATAAAGAACACCCCGATCGATTATGCAGTCCTTCACAACTGACACATATTTCTTTGCTGTTTACAAAGGATATCAGAATTTATAAAGAATGCTGTCACATGCAAAGCACGAGTTTGCAAAGGGTTTTGCTGTTTTCAAAGGATAGTCTAATTTCCAGGGGCTTTGCAGTACAGAAAGCACTATTATTTGCACAGCCAAACACAGGTTTACAAAGTGAGGTCTGATTTGCCCAACACGTGGATGCGCTAGATCAGTCTCCAGGCACTGCATTTTAACTCCAGGCTCTTCCTGGTGTAGGAGTCAGGGAGCAATGCGCTTTCCAAAAGTTGTTTACCACACTTTGTTGGATTCCAAAGCGTTTAACATTCACTACCTGAACTGACTCAGAGGCCTTGGCAGGTAGCATAGGGATGTTTATTTCAGGTTTCTAGTTGGGAAGCTGGAGCCCGTAGAGGGGAGGGGACTTCCTGAGGTCACAGAGTGAGGTGGGGACAGAGGTGGTTTCCTGGTCCCAACCTGTCCTGGGCTGTTTTTCCATTGCTCTGGGCCAGGCCTGGGTGGGTTCTTCCTGGCCTCACCCTGGATGATGGGTTGGGGGTGTGTGTGTGGACTGGGGGGTGGCGGGGTGCCCTGCCCTTAAAGAACCTGCCTCTTGTGCTGAGTAGGGAGGCCAGGTTTCCTACTAGGAGGACAGTCCAGTGGGGGGATCCCAGGCTGAGGGACTAGAACAATCTGGAAAGCCTCTCAGAGGATGAAGCGTGCCAGCCCAGGTCTGCAATGACTGGGAACAGCTGGAGGAAGGGAGGAGGTACCCGAGGTGGGCAGGATTGTGAGAGGTAGGGAGACAGAGAGGGAGCAGAGAGCAGAGAAAGAGCATGATCAGGGGAGACCACGGCAGAGGGAGAGACAGGTCAGGGTGGTTGTTTGGCGCACAGACTCGAGTCAGCTGCCCCTTGCTAGCAGTGTGACATGGGCAAATCACTGACCTTTGCTGGGCCTCAGTTTCCACATCTGTAAAATAGGAATAGAATCAGCCTCCTGGGTGGTTGTGTGGATTGAATGAGTTGATACTTGCAAAGCACCTGGAGCAATTCGTGACACATTGCTCGTGCACCAAGTAAGTATTTATCAAATGATCAGAAAGGGAGACAGAGGGTCTCAGGGGGAAGAATGGGACAGCAGCAGAGCAAGTCAGGGCAGAAAGCTAGGGCGACACAGAGGGTCAGGCGGGGGGACAATTTCCCAAGGGCCTCCTAGCGAAGGTGATCTTGGCTCCGGTGGGGGTGAGGGCTGTGTCAGGGCTCTGACCAGCTTGTCTGGAGGGCAGGACATAATTGGCAGCCTTGGGGAGTGACCAAGAGGCCTCGAGTGCCAAGGTGAGCTGTCTAACCCCCTGTCTCCCCCATGTCTCCAGCAGAGGCAGCTGCTGCTCCCACTGCGGCTCCCGGCCCTGCCCAGCCGGGGCACGTGTCCCCGACACCAGCCACCACATCCCCTGGTGAGAAGGGCGAGGCCGGCACCCCGGTGGCTGCAGGCACCACTGCAGCTGCCATCCCCCGGCGCCATGCCCCTCTGGAGCAGCTGGTTCGCCAGGGCTCCTTCCGCGGGTTCCCAGCGCTGAGCCAGAAGAACTCGCCTTTCAAACGGCAGCTGAGCCTCCGGCTGAATGAGCTGCCGTCCACGCTGCAGCGGCGCACTGACTTCCAGGTGAAGGGCACAGGTGAGCCCTGGGCCCAGTGGGAAGCGGTGTCAGTCAGAATCAAGTAGCGCTGCCTGGGCAAGCTGTGGGCAAGGGATAGAGGAGCGGTGGGACACGCTGATTGATTAGCACTGTCTGCCATGGGAAGGGAGAGGAGAGAGGAGGCACGAAACATGTTTGATTAGCCATGTCTGCTCTGGGTCTGGGGTGGCAGACAGGCATCACAAGTCATGATCCATTAGCAATGTCTGCTGTGGTGAGGGAAAGGAGAAAGATGGCACACATCATGATGGGTTAGCAAAGTCTGCTGTGGGTAAAGAAGTCTGCCTTGAGTGTGGGAAAGACGAGAAGCAGCACAGCTGCCTGTTTTTGCTCAGGGGTAGACTCCAGCACGCTAGGTTAATACTCCCTGCAAGCATTAGGCCAGTAGAGCCCTGAGATCTGGCCAGGTGAAGACACAGGTGTATTCCTCAGGCTCAGAGGAAAGTATTGTGAGGGATTAATGATATCTGCCTAGGGATGACATTCATCATGATCTTTTAACAGTGTCTGCCATGAGCAAGAAAAGGAGAGGGGGCGCACCTCACGCTTAATTAGCAAAGTTTGCCACGGGCAAGGGAGAAGAGAGAGCAGCAGGAGTGCAATGTTTTGCCCAAAGGGGAGACTCCCAGAATTTGGTCAGTGGAAACATGAAGTGAAGGGCACAAGTGCACACAGAGATCCAGGGGTCAGGGAGCATAGAGATGGGTCAGTGACGTCAGCTGTGGGCACAGCGTTGGGCAGAGACAGTACCCATTGTATGGAGGAAGGAGGTGGCAGATAATGATTGATTAGCAATGTCTGCTACAGGTGATGTTAGGAGAGAGGTGGTATAACTGTCCTGCTGTGCTTGGAGGGAAGATAGAATTACAAGGACCTGTCCCTTCTGGCATTTGGCCATGAGGTTTGGTCAGGTGAGGGGTAGAGTGAGCAAAGAGCTCAGTGGAGGAAAAAGCATCACGTTTGATTACTAATGTCTGCCACAGGCCAAGGATAGGAGAGTGGTTACAACCTAAAAGTAACATCTGCCGAGGGAAAGGGAGAAGAGAGAGGTGGCCCAGTACCAAGTTTTTGCCTGGGGCAGACAGGCAGAAGGGCCGTCTTCCTCCCAGCAGCCCGTGAAGCCATGTGGTCTGGCCACCTTCCTGCTTCTATTTGCCAGATCTGTGACACCCACCCCTCCTGGCCTCGGGGATTGGTGTGGGAGGGTGTTGGTCTATATCCAGGAGGCAGAGCTGCTCTAAAAGGTAACTGCTGAGCAGATGCCAGTGCTTGCCGAGAGTGACGCACACGCGATGCACGCCTGCAGCGTCTCGTGGCTGTCACACCCCTTCACACTCGCTGTCCTCATGCAGCCTGACACTGAGGGCCGCACACTCCCGGGACTGTCGCAGGCACTCCCTGAGAGGTGGCAGGCTCCCCAGGCTTTATTTGGAAACCTCATACTCCTGCGACCAGCTGCACACTCGCGTGGATCTGATGGGCTATTTACACAGAAATTTCCCAGACTCACACGGATGTCACACCCTCACGCGCGTGTCACACACAGAAGTCACACACTCAGATTCACACCAACTTGGAAGCCATACACGCAGAGTCACGCATACTTGCAAACACACTCGTGCGTCCCACGGGCGGATTCACTCGCACTTGGGAATCACACGTCAGGATGCCACACACCTGGATTTCAGCCATCAAATGTCACACACCAACTTGGCTGTTGTACCACTCAGATGTCACACAAACATAGGGACAGTTATTTTTGTGGCCACGGCCACTTAGTTCCTATAGGGTGGACCTGCTGGCCTGCACTACTGCACTATGGGACGGAAAGGACCATGGTCGTAAGAGAGGGCCACCTGAGGGTGCAGGGGTAAGGGGCAGGGCCCTGGCCTGTTTCTGACCTCCATCCTTCCCTGCCTTCCCAGTGCCTGAGATGGAGCCTCCTGGTACCAGTGACAGCGATGGCATCAATGCTTTGTGCACACAGATCAGCTCGTCCTTTGCCAGTGCTGGCGCACCAGCAGCAGGGCCACCATCTGCCACAACAGGTGAACCCCGCCCTTCCACCGGGCAGACACCTGCAGTGCCCCTCCCGAGTTCCCCTTCTCCGTTCAGGGCTAATCTTGGGATTCCGCAGGCTTAGAATCTTGGGATCAGTTTAGAACCATGGATCATTTTAGAGCCATGGGATTACCTTATTATTATTATTATTTTGAGACAGTCTCATTCTGTCACCTGGGCTAGAGTGCTGTGGCATCAGCCTAGCTCACAGCAACCTCAAACTCTTGGACTCAAGCAAGCCTCCTGCCTCAGCCTCCTGAGTAGCTGGGACTATAGGCACGCACCACTGTGCCCAGCTAATTTTTTCTGTTTTTAGTTGTCTGGCTAATTTCTTTTTATTTTTAGTAGAGACAGGGGTCTCACTCTTCTTGAGGCTGGTCTTGAAATCCTGACCTCAAATGATCCTCCCACCTCAGCCTCCCAGAGTGCTAGGATTATAAGCGTGAGCCACCACACCCAGCCCATGGGATTCCCTTAGAACCTTCGATTGTCTTAGAACCCTGGGATCATCCTAGAACCATGGAACATCTTAGAAACATGGGGCCATTTCACAGGCATCAGTTTATCCTAGAATTATGGGATCACCTTAGAGCCAAGAGATCATTTTAGAAACATTTCATCACTTTAGAACCATGGATCTTCTTAGAGCCATGGGCTTATCCTAGAACCACAGGAGCACCTCAGAGTGTCAAACAATGTAAATGTAGAACTCTAGAATCCTAGAAAACAATACTTAGAACTGTTGAACTTTCTCACTGTGTTAGACTAATACACTCTGAGAAGGATCCATGCACTCTTAGAATCTTGGCTTCCTAAAACAACACATTCTGAAAGTATTAGAATCAAGTGTAATATTCAAAATATTTGCTGCCAGGTTTGGCACTGACCAGTCAGGAGTGCGGTGGGACTGGGTGGATGTCAGTCCTACTTAGCCTTTTCTTTCTTTCTTTCTTTCTTTCTTTCTTTTTTTTTTTTTTTTTTTGAGACAGAGTCTCGCTTTGTTGCCCAGGCTAGAGTGAGTGCGTGGCGTCAGCCTAGCTCACAGCAACCTCAATCTCCTGGCCTCGAGCGATCCTCCTGCCTCAGCCTCCCAAGTAGCTGGGACTACAGGCATGCGCCACCATGCCCCCCTAATTTTTTTTATATATATTAGTTGGCCAATTAATTTCTTTCTATTTATAGTAGAGACGGGGTCTCGCTCTTGCTCAGTGCTGATTTCGAACTCCTGATCTCGAGTAATTCACCTGACTTGGCCTCCCAGAGTGCTAGGATTACAGGCATGAGCCACCGCGCCAGGCCCTACTTAGCCTTTTTCATCATAGGGCCTTAGAGTGTCACATTACGTGGTCCCGGATGGTTAAGTCACTTGCCCAAAGTCAACACAGCTAGCAAGGAGCAGAACAGGGATGCAGAGGCAGGCGGCCTGGCCCTCGAGTCTGTGTTCCAATCCCCACGCCTTCCTGATCCCAGCCCACGTTGCTTTCACTGAAGCCCTGGCCCCTCACCTGCCCCTCTCCTCTCTCCAGGGACTTCTGCCTGGGGGGAGCCCTCCGTGCCCCCTGCAACTGCCTTCCAGCCTGGGCACAAGCGGACACCTTCGGAGGCTGAGCGATGGCTGGAGGAGGTGTCCCAGGTGGCCAAGGCCCAGCAGCAGCAGCAGCAGCAGCAGCAGCAAGCAGCCTCGGTGCCCCCAGTGCCCACCATGCCCCCTGCCCTACAGCCTTTCCCCGCCCCCGTGGGGCCCTTTGACACGGCACCTGCCCAGGTGGCCATGTTCCTGCCGCCCCCACACATGCAGCCCCCTTTCGTGCCCGCCTACCCAGGCTTGGGCTACCCGCCCATGCCCCGGGTGCCCGTGGTGGGCATCACACCCTCGCAGATGGTGGCCAACGCCTTCTGCTCAGCCGCCCAGCTCCAGCCTCAGCCTGCCACCCTGCTTGGGAAAGCTGGGGCCTTCCTGCCCCCTGCTGCACCCAGTGCCCCTGGGGGCCAGGCCCACCCACGTCCCAACGGGGCCCCCTGGCCCCCAGAGCCAGCGCCCGCCCCAGCCCCTGAGTTGGACCCCTTTGAGGCCCAGTGGGCAGCATTAGAAGGCAAACCTGCTGTAGAGAAGCCTTCCAATCCCTTTTCTGGTGACCTGCAGAAGACCTTCGAGATTGAACTGTAGCGCGAGCTGCCCTGTCCACCCCATCATCTCCAGGTGCCCCACGCCTGGGAGTGGAGCCACAACCTCTCCCCTACTCCTGCTCCCTGGGGCTCTGCCTCTCAGCACCCCCTCAACACCCCTTCTCTCAGCTACCCCCAACACTACAGAACCAACATTGTGACGCCCTGGTTGCAACGGGATGGAATTCAGGGACGCACCCAGCCTGGCTAAGGGAGCCATTTCACTGCCGGACTTCGGCTGGCAATGCCCTCTCCCACCCCAGACCCAGGGGAGGGCCACAGTCCCTCTGAATGCCCTCGGCTCACGCCACATTTCCCAGTTTCTGTTGTTGACCTTCCACCTTCCAGTGTTGGGCAGGATGGAGGAGGGATGCCTATTTAGGGGCTCTCCTGGCCCCCACACGCGTGCCCACCCCAAGTCTGATCGTCTCCTCCCCCCATACACAGCACAAGCTAAGGGCTCCCCTCTGCCCACTGCTGCGTTCACTGCCAATGCTGTGCTCACCCCCATCGCCTCCCCCACTCTGGGGCCCAGGTCTCAGGGGGGGCAGGGTCCAAGTTGGGGGCCCAGGAGGTGGGGGAGGGGAAGAAGATGCTCAGTTACCTCACTTGGTGCCCCCTGGGGAGGGGTCCAGGAAGAAGGGGAAGGGGTGCCTGCTGGGTACTTTTCTATCTTTTATTTCCAGATTTTTTTTGTATCTAAACTTGCAGATTTGTATTATACAAGGACAGCCAATAAAGGAAGAATATAATGGTGCCCCTCTCGGGAGCACAGGGCGTGTGTGTGTGTGTGTGTGTGTGTGTGTGTAGGGATGGTTTGTGGCCACAGCCTTTCCTCCTGAGTCATCTACTAAAACACAAAAGGGTCTCCCTGAGTAATAACCTCTGAGTCAAAACACGGTCACAGGTACCGCTGAGCAGCACCTGCCAGGCGGGTAGTAAAGGGACCTAAAAATCAATCATCCCATTTCTGTTCCTTACAGATTTTAAACCAAGGAATAAAAAGCAAAAAATAATAGCTAATGCTAACAAGTTCAATACTAATATTTCATTTTATTTTATTTATTTTGAGACAGAGTCTCACTTTGTTGCCCCGGTTAGAGTGGGTGCCGTGGCGTCAGCCTAGCTCACAGCAACCTCAAACTCCTGGGTTCAAGCGATCCTTCTGCCTCAGCCTCTCGAGTAGCTGGGACTACAGGCATGCGCCACCATGCCCAGCTAATTTTTTCTAAATATTTTTAGTTGACTAATTAATTTCTATTTTTAGTAGAGACCAGGGGTCTTGCTCTTGCTCAGGCTGGTTTTGAACTCCTGACATTGAGCGATCCTCCCACCTCAGCCTCCCAGACTGCTAGGATTACAGGCGTGAGCCACCACGCCCAGCCAATATTAATATTTTAAATAATCAGGTTGGTAATAGTATATCTTTGGCCAGGCTGACAAAGCTTTTTGTCAGTTGCATTTTCCATAACTCGGGCTAAAATGTCACCTGGCATGGCACCAGGTTGTTTTGCAGTCTATTTCATGGATCCCTTGATACAATCTAAAAAAAAATGTGAAATTTATATTGAGTTCTTTATAGCTCTTTAAAATGAAGTGATTGGTTTTGTGCAGCCCAATCCCCATGAGATGGATGGGGAAATTGAGTCACTTGCCCAAGGTCACGCACCTGATCAGTGGGGGAGCTGGGATTCAAACCTGCTTCTGGCAGAAGTCAAAGTTAGTCATTAAACCACTAGGCTGTGAGGGGACAAGCCTAGGTTCTGCACCACTGTTCCCAGTACAGCTCACTAACCCACTCGTGTACGTGGACGAGGGGACCTACCACTGACAGATCCGACAGGCCACCAGGGGATCCCCAAGCAGGGAGCAAAGGACTCTGCTAGATACCCTACCCTGAGCACATCCTTTCCTTGTAGCTTACGTTTAAACAGCCCTTCGACGACCCTTCGGGCTGAGCTGGGGGCATCCTGGATCCCACCTAGGCCCTGACCCCTCTGGTTGTGGCTCCATCCTCACCCCGGCCCATTCTGGGCCGCCCCTGCTGTCTGGTGGCAGGTCTGTCTGCCCCGCCAACTGTGAGGGAGGGGAGGGTCTGGGGCCGTCTCGGTCATTTCCGGGTGCCAGCACAGAGCCAGGCACAAAGGAGACAATCTCGGCTGTTCACCTCTGGAACCCACTGGGGAGTGAGAGGGGCAGAAAGGGCCTAGGGCTGGGACAGAGAGAATCTGAGCAACTGCGCGCCATCTGAGCTTCAGATGGGGAACTGAAGCCACAAAGCTCACAGCAAATCGGGGACAGACGCAAGGCCTCCCCCGCCGGACCGGGCTTTGCAGAAACCATTCTTCCCTGTGCCAAGAGTAGTCCTCCTCAGGCTCCCCACGACGGCCCACGTGGAGGCGGACGGGAGGGGCCGTCCTGGGGAGCGCCACAGACGTGTCGTCTCCATACCTCCCTCCCACTCCCTGGACGGAGCGGAGCCACCTCCCCTGGGCGACAGCCCCGGTGAACCGCCTACGCCCGCGTCCCGGCTTCGGGCCTCTCGGGACAGAGCCAGGACGCGGGAGTTAACGCCCCGTCTCCTCGTCCCCCCTAAACGCCCATGGGGCCATTTCGGGGGGCCGTGCCCCCTTTCCCGTTCCCTTCGCAGGGCCCCGCCCCCGCGCCGCCTTCTCTCCCGGAACCGCCGGCTGCGGCGGCGATTTTGGCAGGTTCCCCGCAGGACCCCGCGCGCCCCCGCCCCGCTTCCTGTTGTTCTGGACAGGAGTGCGCTCCGCGGGGCCGCGGGCGCCCCCTGGAGGCCGCGGTCGCTCCGGGGACGGCCCACGCCGGACGGGGACGGCCCTCGCCGCGCCGGGGGCTCCCCGGGGCCCGCGGCTTCCACCGCCCTCCGAGGGTCGCCCGCCACCGCGTGGCCGCGGTCTCTCCGGACACGTCCCACGGTGTGACGGACCGCCCCCGACCCTCGCCCCGTCCCGCCCCGCACACGTCCCGCGCCGCCGAGGCCGCGTGGCTGCCGCGGGTGCTCCGCGAGCGCGGCGGAGCAGCGCCCCCTTGTGGCCCTGACCTCGCAGCGCCCCGAAGGGCCTGATTCGTGGCTCTGGGCGAGAGCCCCAGCCGGAATGTCGCTAAAGCAGGTTTGCTTAAAAAACAAGATTAGTGGCCGGGCGCGGTGGCTCACGCCTGTCATCCTAGCACTGGGAGGCCGAGGCAGGCGGATTGCTCGAGGTCAGGAGCTTGAAACCAGTCTGAGCAAGAGTGAGACCCCTGTCTCTACTATAAATAGAAAATATTTAGCCAACTAATATATATAGAAAAAATTGGCCGGGCATGGTGGTGCATGCCTGTAGTCCCAGCTACTCGGGAGGCTGAGGCAGAAGGATCGCTTGAGCCCAGGAGTTTGAGGTTGCTGTGAGCTAGGCTGATGCCACGGCACTCACTCTAGCCTGGGCAACAAAGAGAGATTCTGTCTCAAAAAAAAAAAAATTTAGTGTTACAGCCATAAATAACATTATCCCTCAGGCCCTGGCTCAGCCCTTCCTTCCTCTTAGAAGCCCTCCCAGATTCCCCCAGTTGGGATCAGGAGCTTCTTTTGGGCTCCTACAGTCCCTTATGCTCACCCAACCCCACTCTCGACAGCCCATGCCCCCCATCCTGCCTCAACCCCCCGGCCCGTGCCCCCCCAGAGCCCTAGACCTTGCTCCCCACCCCGCACTGACCACCCTTCCCGTGTCCCCCTATCCCAGCCCTGACTCCTCTAGGCTGTCACTGTCTATGAAGAGTCCGCCCCTTTCCTGCACAAGAATCCGTATGAAGACTGGGACAAGGGCTTTCACGGTCACCCCTGTGTCCCCAGTATCACCAAGAGCCAGGGAGGCTCAGAAGACCTGCACTCACCTCTCGGGAACATTTACTTACTCCCTCAACACGTACTTTGTTTCAACAGCTTTATTGAGGCATAATTACCTATTATAAAATTCACCTGTTTTAAGTAACAACAATTCTGAATGATTTTGCAGCTGTGAAACCATCACAATCCAATTTTAGAACATTTCTATCACTCTAAAAAGATCTTTTTTTGCCCATTTGCAATCACTGCCCATTCCCAGCCCTGCCCCAGGCAACCACTGCCCTACTTTCTGTCATGTACATATCCTTTCCTTCATTTTATGAGCATTTACTGAATACTTATTTTTATTAGTTATTGAGTGCTGAGGATACAAAATGACACACACAGCCCCTGCCTTCAGGGAACTCAAAGTCTGCTTGGGGTGTTAGGTAATGGGAAAACATGGCCACTCATTCATTCATTCAAAAAACACTTATTGTACAACTGCCATATGCCCATTATTCTAGACACTGAGGATATAGCACTGGAAGGAAAAAAGACAAAAAAAATCTCTACTCTGCTGGAGTTGGTATCCTAATGGAAGCATGAAAAAATAAAGAAATAAACAAACAGGCCAAGTGTAGTGGCTCACACCTGTAATCCCAGCACTTTGGGAGAATCACTTGAGGCCAAGAGTTTGAGGTAGCAGTGAGCTGTGATCATGCCACTGCACTCCAGCCAGGGTGACGGCCATTAACAGCAGAAACGACAGCCAACACCATAGACATCTCAGTTGGTTCCGCTCACACAATTTTCACTGAAAAGTTAAAGTTGAGCAAATTTTCCACTTGATGGGTGCCAAAACCATTGCACCCAGATCAGCTGTAGAAAAGAACATTAAAATTTCAATGGAGATTTTTTTTTTCTTTTTTTGAGACAGAGTCTCGCTTTGTTGCCCAGGCTAGAGCGAATGCCCTGGCTTTAGTTGGCCAATTAATTTCTTTCTATTTATAGTAGAGACAGGGTCTCACTCTTGCTCAGGCTGGTTTTGAACTCCTGACCTTGAGCAATCCGCCAGCCTGGGCCTCCCAGAGTGCTGGGAGTCACTGCGCCTGGCCTCAATGGAGGTTTTAAACAAGTGGGATCAAGATCCCGAAGCATTTCCTGGAAGAACTGTAACAGGAGAGGGGACATGTCTTTACCAGGAGGATCCTGAGGACAGAGCACAGCCAAGGCGACGGCGACCAGCAGGCGGAAGTGGTCCAGTCACAGCAAAGACAGACAGGTCAAGAGCAAAGGTCGTGGCAACAGTTTTTTGGGATGCTCAAGGCATTTTGGTTGTTGACTTTCCGGAGGGCCAAGAACGATAACATCTGCTCATTATGAGACTGTTTTGAGAAAGTTAGCCAATGCTTCAGCAGAAAAGCACCCAGAGAGTCCTTCTCCTCCAAGACAATGCTCCTGCTCGTTCCTCTCATCAAACAAGGACAATTTTGCGACAGTTTCAATGGGAAGTCATTAAGCATCCCCCTCACAGTCCTGGTTTGGCTTTTTCTGACTTCTTTTCGTTCCCTAATCTTAAATGGCACTCATATTTCTTCAGTTAATAATGTAAAAAGGCCAGGCATGGTGGCTCACGCCTGTAATCCTAGCACTCTGCGAGGCTCAGGCAGTCGGATTGTTTGAGCTCAGGAGTTCGAGACCAGCCTGAGTAAGAGCGAGACCCCATCTCTACCAAAAATAGAAAGAAATTAGCTGAACAACTAAAAATATATAGAAAAAATTAGCCGGGTATGGTGGCACATGCTTGTAGTCCCAGCTACTCGGGAGGCTGAGGCAGAAGGATTGTTTGAGCCTAGGAGTTGGAGGTTTCTGTGAGCTAGGCTGATGCCACGGCACTCTAGCCAGGGCAACAGAGATTCTGTCTCAAAAATAAATAAATA